TAGTAGCAATCGTAGTAGTAGCAGTAATTAGTAGTAGTAGTAGTAGTAGTAGTAGGAGTAGTAGTAGTAGTAGTAGTAGTAGTAGTAGTAGCATTAGTAGTAGTAGTAGTAGTAGTAGTAGTAGTAGCTACTAAGTAGTAGTAGCAATCGCGGTTATTGTTGTTGTGGTTGTTGTTACCGTTGCTGTTGTTGTTGCTGTTGTTGGTTGTTGTTGTTGTTGTTGTTGTTGTTGCAACTGCTACTGCTGCTGCTGCTGCTGCTGCTGCTGTTGTTGTTGTTGTTGTTGTTGTGCTTTGGTGCCGCAAAGTGCACGTGCTGCGAGCTGCGTTGTTTGTTGTTGTTATTGCTGCTGTTTGCATGCGGAGCTGCAAAAACTGTGAAGCTGCGATTTTTTCCCGAACTTCGTTCTCAAAATTGAGTGAGTGTTTTTCCCGCAAGTGCTTCATGTTTCAATTGCAAGGTTGTGGTGGCTTTGCACTAGGCTCTATGACATAGCATTGGAGGCGCCACAGCGTGGCGCACAGCAACTTGCAGATAGCACTTACGGAAACATGTTTCCTTATGTTTTTTGTCACAGAAGCTGGGGTCGGGGTGTGCGCACATATGCGGTCCTGAGATTCGGGGCACGTTTCAAACTCCAAGCAGAGTAGATTTAGATGGCACTTCTGTGGTTACTCTGTTAAGTCCCCCTTCGAAACTGAGAAACCTGAGCCCTGAAGCTGCGAAGTTGATCGCAGGCTTTAATGCCGGCTGCGTTGGCGCACTTCCAGCACATCCAGGACCAAATGACGGATTTAAGCACCTTGGATCTGCAGCTGTGGGCCAGAATTGCTCGCTTTTGTCAAGTGGGATCCTGTTCGTGTTGTGCTGAAGTGTTCCAAGGTACAGAGTCAGACGATTTCAAGCTGACAGCAGCGTGGCCGCAAAGTCATGCAAATCCGCCCTTATGGCATGACCCGGCAACTCAAACCAAAGGGAAATTGTTAGGGGGCAAGGTAGAGTGTAGTGAATGTAGCAGGACCTGTGCTATCGCCAGTTCAGTGCAATTGATACTACGAGCCAGGAGGAGGAATAATCACTCGGGGTATCAGTACGGTGCGGAGAATACAAGTGGTACTGCTTGCACACTAAGATCAGCAGTCATCAACAGTGATGTTAGGACCAATGCTTGGAGCAAGAATGTAAAGCTTTCTCAGGACTGCAGGAACCGAAGGCGGCAGGGGCCGCAGGAACTGCAAGTTGAAAGAACTGCAAGACCCTGGGACTGCGGCGAACTGCAGGCTGTGCAGGGGCCAAAAGAACAAATAACTTCAGTAAGAAGAGCGAACATCGGTCCAAAATCATGGGACGGGGAGGGAGGGGTTACGTACGGGCTTCAGGCCTCGATGTGTTGCTATCATCATACGAGGCTGAGTTTCATGCCCGGACCTTCACCTTGGATCCTGTGTTCCGACCTGCATCCTTGTTCTGGCTAGTGGGATCGCATGCAAAATGCCCCGCCCAAATACCCCTTAAACTAGTACTAGAGGTGCCTTGGCAATTAGAATCACGTTGTGGATGACTAGTAGTACTTTTGCTTTTTCTATATCTATTTCTAGTATGATTGCTATTACTATTACTGTTACTATTACTATTACTATTACTATACTGTAGAGAAGTTATGGCTTCTCATCACAATCTCGTCGTCGCCGAGGTGCGCAATACATTCATTGACGCTGCTCCGCTGCAAAGAAGAAGAAGGTCTTTGTGATTCGTTTCGGCTGGCAGATGTACACCCAACTTTATATGTTTAGCTTTGGTACATATTGCCAGAACATGCTGGATTCAGGCTAAATTTGGCTGAGCAGGGCCGACAATGACTTTGATCCTCAATCTTGTTGCAACCGTCACCTCACCTCTCAGTGTACTCAGCATTCACATGATACCTGTTGAAGTTCAGCATGGGTTTTCAAAAAGCACTGCTGTGCCCAGCTTGAGGTTAAACATTTGCCATGTCCCACACGGGCGCACGGAGGTAGTAGTGGACAACGAGGAGGAGGACGAGCCGCTGGTTCGCAGCTCCTCAGACCCTCTTGGGGGCCAACGCCGGCTGTCTGCACATATTAGGTTTGAGCGCATACTCCCTAGCTGGGGCAGGGGGATCGTCATATTCAAGGGTGGTAGTCAAAAGCAGCCACACATACACACACGTACACAATCGACGGCTCCCTAACCAAACACCAAGCATGTGCGAAGAGTCGCAGAGTCGTTTGCTGCACTCAGCAAGAAAGGCCAGAAGCTCAAGCTCGAGGCAGCTTTGCCGAAGACGAGGCCACGCTCGTTCGATGATGCAGATGCTTGTCGCGTGGCTTCGCCGGTGACTGCTGCCGCTGACTGCGCCTCCTACTGTAGTTGCCGCTGCTACTGTTACTGTATCGCTTCTGCAAATAATTGTGATTATTTTCTCGGTCATAATGACAGTGATCATCGACACAGACACGATAACAAGTTGTGGCAACGAAATCGCGCACAAACACCAAGCGAAAGTTTATCTTTGTAGCTAGCAGTGCAGTAGGAGCAGCAAAACTGGACCAGAAGTACACATAGCTGCAGCGCCATCCGCGGCATCAGCACGAACAAAAGGAGTCAATCTTTATTCTGCTACTGCTACTGCTCTACTACTACGACGACAACTAGTACCACTGCCACTACTGCTAGTGCTGCTACTATTGCGTGTGCTACTGCTGCTACGACGACGTCTGCTAAAGCTACTACCACTACCACCCCTGCTACCGCTCCTACCCACGACTCCCGCTGCGGCCACTGCTGCCACCACCACTGCTTCCACTGCTACGCGCACCCCTACTACTACTTCTACTACCACTACCACTACCACTACCACTACCACTACCACTACCACTACCACTACCACTACCACTCCTACTCCTACTCCTACTCCTACTCCTACTCCTACTCCTACTCCTACTCCTACTCCTACTCCTACTCCTACTCCTACTCCTACTCCTACTCGTACTCCTACTCCTACTACTGTACTATTACCACTACTGCTGCTACTACTACTGCTACTACTACCACTACAACTACTACAACTTCTATTACTACTACTACTACTACTACTACTACTACTAGTAGTGCTACTAGTACTACTGTTACTAGTGCTAGTACTAGTACGAGTACTAGTACTACTACTACTACTACTACTACTACTAGTAGTGCTACTAG